TCAGAAGTCCAAGGCAGTCCCAGTGGCTCTCTCCTCCTGCTGCCTGTGGATCTCGATGTGGAACTCTCAGTCACCATGTCTGCCTGTGCACCACCATGCTTCCCATGATGATAGTGTACTAACTCTTTGAAACTGTAAGCAAGCCTCAATTAAATGTTATCTTTTATTAGAGTTGCCATGGTGGTGGTGTCTCCTCACAGCAATAGAACACTGACTGAGACAGCAACAGTCTACAAGATTTGATATTAGTGTTTTGGGAACCAGGCTCCAAGTTGGTCCCAAAGATGAGCATCTTCATATACCCTTCTGTGCTTATTTTCCCCCTTGACTAGAACCAATAGGGTAGTGTGGAAATACCTGTGTCTTGGTTGTTTTTATTGACACATGGTTGCTCATGTAGCCCAGGGTGGCCCTGAACTCTCAGTAATCCTGTTTCAGCCTCCCAGCCTCTGAGATTACAGGGCTGGGGTTCCATGTGTGACCTTAGTGTTTCCTCATTGTAGCTTCTAAGTTGCTCTCTTAGATCTCTTCCCCTGTGTGAAAAAGCTGACAAAAAGTACATTCAAGCATCCTTAAGGAGTATAGTAAGAACTGAGGTTTGCCCAGATGTGATGGCGCACACCTTTAGTCTCAGAATTCAGGAGGCAGAGGCAGGAAGATCTCTATGAGTTCAAGGCCAACCTGACCTACAGAGCGAGTGCCAGGAAAGCCAAGGCTATACAGAGAAGGCCTGTCTTGAAAAACAAAAACAAACAAACAAACAAAAAAACTGGGAAAAAGAGAAAGATCTGGGGTTTTTGCTGGGCATGGTGGAGCACTTCTTTAATCTCAGAACTAAAGGCAGAGACAGGTGGATCGTCTCTGTGAATTCGAGGTCAGCCTGGTGTACATAACAAATTCCAGGATGGCCAGGACTACAAAGAGAGATCATGTCTCAAAAACAAAACGAAACAAACAAAAAACAAAACAAAACTGACACTTTCAACCAAACACAAGTATCAACATCTCATCGTTAAGAATACACCTTACATTTTCTGTGCCTGATAATGTACACTTTTAATCTAGGGATGTAGAGGCAGGAAGACCTATGTGAGTTAGTTCAAGCCTGGTCTACACAGTGAGTTCCAATCCGACCAGCTACTTCTTGTCAGCTTTTTCACACAGGAGAAGAGATCTAAGAGAGCAATATAGAAGCTCTTCTAGTTTTTCCACGATAGTATTTTTTGTGTATGAGTTTAGTTTTTCCACTATAGTAGTCTGTGTATGAGTATTTTGCCTGCATATATGTATGTGTACTGCATATGTTTATGTGTGCACTGCATCTGAGGAATGTTGTGGAATGTTAGTTTAAGATGTACTACATTCCTTTATGCTGTGGAATATTTGTTTAATGATGCAGATATGCTGCATTTTTATGTTGCATATGTTTGACTCTGTAAAGCTGTGTTACTTAATCTGCCTAAAATACCTGATTGGTCTAAAAAAGATCTGAGCAACCAACAGCTAGGCAGGAGCGAGAAATAGGCGGGGCTGGCATGCAGAGAGAATGAATAGAAGGGGAAGAGCAAGAAAGGAAGATGAGGGGACACCAGAAGGCAACCACCCAGCCATCGAGTAACAAGGAAAGAAGGTAGATGAGATAATTCAAGGAAACCTAGCAAGAAACAAGCCAAGCTAAGGCCAGGCATTCGTAAGAATAAATCTCTGTGTATTTATTTGGGAGCTGGGTAAGCTAGGTTGTGGCCCCCCAAGAGTTAAATAAATAAAAATCTGATCCCCTGGAAGTGTAGTTAAGAATAACTATAAACTAACAGTGCTATGAACTGATTCTAGGTCCTCTATATGAATAGGAAGTACTCTTAACCATTAAAGCATTTCTTCAGGGTTGGTTGGTGGTGGCGTACGCCTTTAATCCCAGCACTTGGGAGGCAGAGTATAATGTAAGCCCATGGTTTTAATATCACTCATCTATGTAATGACGCCAAATTCATCCTGGAAATTAATTTACCTAAGAAACCTTATTTCTCAGAACTCTAACTCTGCAGCTTACTTAAAGGGAGGAAACCCACCTTAAATTACTAAAGACTGTCTGCTCAATTACATTACTTTATTTGGAAATGTTTTTAACAGTACAGTGATACTAAAACTTCAGAGACAATGGCTGTCATTAGTTTAGGCATCATCAGTTTATTATAAAAGGGAGGCATGGAAATTATTTACATGATGAATAGTTCAGAATGTCAGTGGAATGGGCAGCTTCATGTGACACCATTTCAACAGTGATTTCAGTCCGTATATTTTCCAAGAATGTCACCATCTCTAAATAAGAAATAATCCTGTGAATAAAGAAACCACCAGTTAATTCAGTAAAAGCAAATACACAACTCATTTTAGCTTTATTGCTTGGTGGTGGCACGTCTTTAATTCCAGCACTTGGGAGGCAGAGACAAGCAAATCTTTGTGAGTTCAAGGCCAGTCCAGTCTACAGAGTGAGTTCCAGGATAGCCAGGGCTACACCTAGAAAATCTGTCTTGAAAAATTAATAATAATAATATCATAGCTTTACTTACCTTGTCGTCTATAACTACTTTGGTGCCTCCATATTCTGGGAGAAGAACTTTGTCCCCGACTTTCACGCTGACCGGCTGAATCTCTCCACCCTTAAAAACATAGTTGCTTATTAGCAAAGACATCTTGTTCACTAGATGCACAGTGAACACTGTTTCAGTACATACACCAGGATCCTCCTGCCTCAGTTTTGTAGGTGTTGTTAATGGGCATGCATCAACCACACAAGGCTCTACAGACAACTTTCAAATCCTGTGAAATGTGCTCACTCAAATACTGTATGTTGTTCGGTACCTAAGTAGTGGTTAAGCAATATAATGTACATTAAATGTAGATCACAATATAAGCGTTACAGTAGTTACAATCTGAAATAAAAGTAGCTCCCACTAATACTGCCTTTCAGTGAACAGCTATGGTTGGCTAACTTTTTAACTGTTAAGTATTAACTCACCCTGTAGGCCATGTGAAATAAAGCAGCTTTTAACACCAAATATGACTTCAATGAGCAAAAATGTGGCATTCGTTTTCTCTATTCAATGTCCTTGTCCTCAAGGCTTAGGCTCGGTCAGACTGAAGTAGCACACTCCAGAGGTTTAGTTAAGTGAAGGACCCAGAGTATTTTCATTTCCCTTCTCAAAGGTAACTAAAGCTACCAGTGGTATAAGATTAAAGCCCCCACCACTGCCAAAATTCTAGTATAATACCACTTTCAATTCTGAAAAAACAACAAAAACAACCCAGGGTTTAATCTACCTGTATGATCTTTTGACTATTTAAAATATGAAAAGTAGGTTACAACAAAGTAACTACAAAGGTAATCCATTTTTGTGACGTTTTGCTTTTCCTTTTTTATTTTGACATGGTTTCATTCTGTACCTCCGGTTGTTCTACAATCCTGCCTTGGATTCTAAAGTATCATGGCCACAAGGCATGAGCCACCATAATGGCCGACACATTTTAATCTGGAGTGTGTGGAAGTACTGGAAGCCATGTAGAGAATCCCAAAACTAGTTAGTAAAAGGCTGTAACTCCAACATACTGAGGGCTGGAAACCAACTAGTTCAAATGAGAGACCTCGTCCCCAAAGAGTAAGTCGATCTGCACATACAGCAGACATGCACATAACAACGTCTCTCACAAACACAGGAAAAATTCTCGTGTGTGCTTTTTGCCTTTTTTTAGAGTGCCTCTCCATTCCTTAGGAAAACAATTTTACAATGGTTTTCCTTAATGTGAGGTTCTTTGTGAACTTAAATTATTTAAAAAAAGACATCCACTATTTAAAAAGTCCCTTCTGGTAACCTAGCATTTTCTACCACATCACATATAAAACTCAGCACTGCTGTAGTACCCGCGGTTACCTTTCCTTTCGAGCCTGATCCCACAGCCACAACTGTTGCGTGCAATACTTTTCCTTGAGACTTTTCTGGAAGCATAATGCCACCTTTGGTCACAGTTTCGGCGGCACTCCTTTCAACCAATACTCTGTCCAAGAGCGGTAGAAACTTTTTGAAAGCTTGTCCAGCCTACGGAGAGAAACGTGTATTCAAACCGACTGTAATTGCGCCCGCAGCGTCAGACCACGAACGGTTAATACCGCTGCGAGCCTTAACATACACCAGGTCAAACGTCCTAAACTGACAAGAAAATCCAGCTAAACCTTTAGAAATATTCTTAAATGTTTCATTCCCTGTATACTGTGTGTGTGGGAGGAGGGGGTCTTCAATGCCCATCAGCAACCACACTACCTTTAACCACAACCTTTAACCCTGGTCCAGTCCAAGGTCAAACGTTCTCCTTTCTTTAGGGTTTTTTCTTTTTTAATTCTAGTGACGCCGGAGAGGGAGTGTCAAAATTTGGCCCTGGGTCATACATTCCCCAACAAAGCATACGTCCACTAAAGCCCTGCCAGGGCAGGTGGGCTACTGAGTGTGCATCCGGGTTCCCGCCCCCTGCCCCGGGCGCCCGCAGCACACGTGCGTGCAAAGAAGCCATGGTGGAGAAACGCATCGGACAGGCCTCGCTTCTGCGGAACCAGGGCGGGGGCCGGGCACTGCGTGGCCCAGCTGTCCTGCCAGTCCTAAACCGGCAGACGGGGGACGCCGTGGGTAGCCGGGGACCCTGACCCGCAGGCAGACCTTCCAGTCCAGGGACACTCACCATACTCGCGCCGCCGCAGCTCGGACTGTGCACTCGGGCCGCCGCTGCAAGGAGAGTCCGGAGGGCCGGCGCGGGACACGTGAAAAGGACACGCAGCGCGCAGGCGCACGCGGCCCCTGAGCGTGCGAGAGGGCGGCCACGCCAGCGCGCGCGCCGATTGGTGGCGAGGACTCCGCGCAGGCCGCGGATGGGGGCAGCCGGAGGCGGAAGAAAAGGGGCGCACTTTCTAGGCTTTTCCAGGCGGCCCGCCGAGGTGAAAGAACGAGTCCTTCGCCCTCCTCCCGGAAATGACGCCAGTTGACCCTTGACCCGCGGGAGGCGCGGCGCCCTTCCGGAAGGTTCTAGAACGGAGCGAGGCCCAGGAACTAGCGTACGGCGGCGGGAGAGCCTGGAGCCCGCGGGGCTGAGGCCGCTCGGGTACGGGGGGGGGCGGGGCCGCGCGCGCCGCATGCCGATTGCAGGGCCGGGGCGTGGGAGGGGGGCGGGGCGCGCGCTCACGCGGGGCCGCGGGGCGGGGCCGCGGAGGGAGGGGACTCGAGCTCATTGCGGTGCGCGCCTTGCGCTCGGTCCCTCACTCGCCGCCGACGGCCCGCTTCGCCTCGTGCCCTCCCGCCGCCGCCCCGCAGGTACACGACCTCGGCGGGCATGGCGCCCGGGAGCTCCCGGCTTGCTTCCGGCGCGGCCCGGAGCACGGCGGGCTTAGCGGACAAGGCTGGCAGCGACGCCGCAGGCTCAGCTGGCCTGTCCAGGCCCGGCGGGGCCACGCGGGTTTCATCACGTGCGGCGGGGACCACGCGACCCAGGCCAAGCACGGGAGCGAGGACGGGCTAGGGTGGGAGCCCCTAGGGCCCTCTGCTGCCACCTGCGCCTGGCGCACTGCAGGACTCTTGTCGGAGGGTGGTCGCGGTCCCTTCTCGTCCCCGCTGGCAGCGGGGATCCGGCGCCTTCACTTTGACCTTGCCTGGGGCTCCATGTCGGGAAGACACGTGGGGCCGCGCGGCTGGGCTGAGCTGTGGTCCTGGTGTTTGCGGCCTTGCTAGCTGCTGTGCCGCAGTAGCTCCGGGTGGATACCTGGCGACACTTTTCCTGAGCGGGATTTTGCACCGTCATGAGTACTTGTATAGTTCCCTAGGCACTTGCATTTGGGACCTGCCTCGCTTACGCCACCTTGATTTTTTTTCCTTTTTTTTTTTTGTTCCCCACACACGTTTTTGGAGTGGATCTGCTCCCAAGGCCGCTTTGGCAGTGAAAGATTAACTAGCCATGGCTGGAGTGGGTGGCCATGGGGAATGGTTTCGTGTGCTAGTGCTGTAGGTCAAGCAAGGGGGCGGCCTCCTCAATCCATTGCTTGCAAATGATGTCCTGAAGCTGCAGCGCCGTGTGTGGCCCAGGCGTGGTGGCTAGCCGAGGACTGCCAAGCTCCGATTTAGCTAACCTCCATGTTCTGAAGCACATGTGGACAAGTTTGTCCGTACCTAATAGTGATCCTTTGCTTTTCCTCCCTTCCCCCAGAAATGCTTCGACTACCCACAGTCCTTCGCCAGATGAGACCAGTGTCCCGGGCACTGGCTCCTCATCTCACTCGGGCCTATGCCAAAGATGTCAAATTTGGTGCGGATGCTCGAGCCTTAATGCTTCAAGGTGTAGACCTTTTAGCCGATGCTGTAGCTGTTACAATGGGGCCAAAGGTATCAGTATGCTTTAAATGGTGTTAATAAAAGAATAGTGTTCTGTAGCTGAAATTAGGCAGTATTTTGTTAACAGAAATCTAATTCGCGTGTAGTATGTGCTAGTGATTTGGGGGTGTTATTTAGGAGTTAGTTAATGGCCTTAATACTGCTGCAGCCGATTTGGGGGACTTTTGTGCAACATGATGCAATAGAGTAGTAATAGCTTGAGGAGGATTTTCAAACTCGAGGCGTAATTAATCTTGTGTGAATGCTTGCATTAAAATTTGGATCCTTTCCCAGGAGTTAGAGGGTATAGAGGGGAAAGTACAGCTGAAGACTGGTAACACCTTGAAGTGTGTAATTGTAGATGTGAGGTTTTACTTACTGTACTGAAGCGTTCCGGTATGCATACAGTAAATGCACTAGCATAGAGTTTAGATTTGTTTATATTTTTATGTGCGTTGGTGTTTTGCCTGCATGTATACCCATGTGAATTTACCAGAACTGGAGTTACAGTTGTGAGCTGCTGTGTGGGTGCTGGGAATTGAACCTGGATCTTAACCACTGAGCCATCTGTCCAGCCTAAGTTAATATTTGAGTTTGTTTACATTGTTCTGTAACTGTCACCACCACACAGACCCAGAACTATTTTCACTTGCACATGGAAAAGGCTATGTCGTCTCCCATTTATCCCTCACTTGTATGTACCTCATGATTTCTGCTATTCCCACTTTTCCAAAAGTTTGGTTTTGGGTTTTTAAGAGTCTTGATAGCTTAGTCAGACCTCTAACTCCCTTTGTATCAAGCATATCCTTGAACTCCTGCTACTTCTACCTCCCAAGTGTAAGTGTATAGCAGTTCAGTATACTGTTCACCTGGTATTAATTGAGACAGGGATTTTAGCCGTACCTGACCTGGAACCCCTGTGGACCAAGCTAGCTTGAACAGATCATTGCTGAGATGAAAGGTTTTGAGTCACTTGAATAAGGAGCCATAGTGCCTTGAGGACATCATTGGATATGGGTAGGGCACAGTCACTTTTGTTAAAGCCATTTATTTATAGTTTTTCGAGACAAGAGTTTCGCTGTGGCTTTAGAGGCTGTCCTGGAACTTGCTCTGTAGACCAGGCTAGTCTAGAACTCAAAGAGATCCGCCTACCTCTGCCTCCCAAGTACTGGGATTAAAGGCATGCACCACCACCGCCCGACTGTTAAAGCCATCTAAAGAACTGCATAAACTGCTATTTATATAGCTCAAGACAGAGCAGCTTGGCTCAAATCCAAGTTGCCAAAACTGTTGGTGTCATTTTTGAAGTTTTGTATTGCATTAGTAGGAAACTGTTCTTAACCTACTAGTTGACATTCAGGGAATGGATGTTAAATTGTACTTACAAACAGCAGTTAATAAAAAGTATTAACAGTTCATAACCAAAACTCATAGTACAAGTGATGTTAAGAATGTTCTGGGGTTTGGTGATTGTCATCTGTGCTTTCTTGTTTAATAGGTGGCCTCTTAGTGTGTGGGTAGGTAGGGGATGGTATCTCCTGTTGTATCCCACTCAAAGTTGAATTCCTGGCAAATGAGCATAATTCCTTTTGTCTACAGACCTAAGAATGTTGATTAACTTGACCTTTGAGACTCATTTGTTGGGACTGTTAAAAGTGACAACTTGAGGCTTACGGTTGAAGATTGTTATTCTGTCATTGTAGGGAAGAACGGTGATTATTGAACAGAGTTGGGGAAGTCCCAAGGTAACAAAAGATGGGGTCACTGTTGCAAAGGCAATTGATTTAAAGGATAAATACAAAAACATTGGAGCTAAACTTGTTCAAGATGTTGCCAATAACACAAATGAAGAGGCTGGGGATGGCACTACCACTGCTACTGTTCTGGCACGTTCTATTGCCAAGGAAGGCTTTGAGAAGATCAGCAAAGGGGCTAATCCAGTAGAAATCCGGAGAGGTAAGAGCACCATATCATTGACCCTACAGAAATGAGAGAATATTGTCTCGTGTTTGTCTTTTCTTATATTTGTTGGTGTGTGTGCACAGACATGATGACTGTTCTCTCCTGCCTTTGTCTCACTTGCTCAGGTGCCATATTGGAAACAGGCAACATGATAGTAGTAGTAGCTTAAGGAAATGAATGAGGAGTGCGGGTTTTTTGTTTGTTTGGGCATTGGTGTTTTGCCTGCGTGTGTGTGTGCCTGTGCAAGGGTGCCAGATGCCCTGAAACTGGAGCCACAGGCTATCTGTATTTGATTTCATTCACTTTTGTTAAGAAGGAGTGGCTATCCCTCGTAGCCCTCCCTGGCTTGGCCCCATGTATACTCTATGCTAGTCTTAAAAGCAATCCTCCTGACTAAGCCTCCTGGGTATTGGGATTACAGGTATGAGCTACCACTGAACATCTTGATCAAGTTTTCACAATGTTCATGGTTTTCAAATGATTGATTGAGTGCATGTCATATCATTTGGTACAGTTAAGACAGTGCTGACACGAGAGCTTGCGTATAAATGTTAAAATGAACTTGTAAGTTTATGCTCAGCTTGGGAGCCATAATAAGCATTGTGCTAACATGCATTCTTGAACTAGGTGTGATGTTGGCTGTTGATGCTGTAATCGCTGAACTAAAAAAACAATCTAAACCTGTGACAACCCCTGAAGAAATTGCTCAGGTAAGGGTTTCGTTTCCTATTTTAAAAAACAAAATCTTTTTTTTTTTTTTTTTTTTTTTTTGGTTTGTTTTTCAAGATAAGCTTTCTTTGTGTAGCCTTGACTGTCCTGGAACTTAATATGTAGACCCAGGCTGGCCTCAAACTCAAGAGAGATCCCGCCCACCTCAGTCTCCCAAGTGCTGGGATTAAAGGCATGCACCACCACTGCCCAGCTGCTTTTTTTAAAAAACATGGTTGTAAAATAAGATTTTTTGGGAAGATGTTTTTAGGTGTTCTCAATGGTCACTGCCCTGTATGGAATCAAACCTAACCCTTGAAACATAGTAGGCAAGTAAATAAAGGTGTTTTACATGTGTATGGGGTATGTATGTGTACCATGTACATTCTGAGCCCATAGAAGGTGGTGGTAGAGGCCGTTGCCAGCCAGTGTGAGCTGGTAAGTCATCTTAACCACTAAGCCATCTCTCCAGCCTGTTGGTATATTCTTAGTGTGGAAGGACCATTTAACCAGTACTTTGTTAAAATTGATAAGTATAAAATGTCCCTCTCTCCCCTGGGCTGAAGTGTCAATTTAGGTCAAAGGGGAAGAGGGTTGAAAATACTGATCTTACCATTTAATTTTGAAGTAACTGGTTATTTTAGGTTGCTACAATTTCTGCAAATGGAGACAAAGACATTGGAAACATCATCTCTGATGCAATGAAAAAGGTTGGAAGAAAGGGTGTCATCACAGTGAAGGCAAGTGTGGGGTTTGTTGTGTTCTGATAACACCTTCAGTGAGATGTGTGTCAACTGCGTTCCAAACAGAAACCTTGAGTCTCTTGTTTGTGTCTATCTGTGCTGAGTATAGGGCTTACTGGTGTCTAAATTGGGAGCCCTACCTCCCAGAACGAATCCGTCCAATTAAATAAATGTAATTAGCTCTCAGCTAGCTGTGAGTGGGAGGGGAATGGAGTAGGGCCTCACTTTGTAGCCCTCAACCTCAAAGTAGGTTCTATTCCTCTGCCTTGGCTTTGTTGTGGGGACTAAAGGTGTGTGTACCTGGTGCCTCAGATTCCACAAGACACAGCGGTTGTGAGCTACCATGTGGGTACCAAGAACCTAACCCCTGAGCCATCTTTAGATTTAGCTGCCCAAGTATTTTTTCTTCACTGAAATCCATTCATCTAATTCTTTTGACTTTTCATAGGATGGAAAAACCCTGAATGATGAATTAGAAATTATTGAAGGCATGAAGTTTGACAGAGGATATATTTCCCCGTATTTTATTAACACATCAAAAGGTAAGAAGAGCAAGTCAGTAGTGAATCTTGAAAATAGCATTTTAAAGGTATCTCAGCTGTAGGCAGTGGGTTGGAAAATCTGTAAAAATAAAATTAAAAACAGTTAATGGTTCACTAATTGAATGAGTTGCTGGTCTCTGTAGAAGTAATTGTTAGTTTTCTTGGTGCTGTTAGAATTTGGTTTTACTGCTGACTGTTTTACAGGTCAAAAATGTGAGTTCCAAGATGCCTATGTTCTGTTGAGTGAAAAGAAAATTTCCAGTGTCCAGTCCATTGTACCTGCCCTTGAAATTGCTAATGCTCATCGGAAGCCCTTGGTCATAATTGCTGAAGATGTTGATGGGGAAGCTCTAAGCACACTGGTTTTGAACAGGTGGGTTAGGTGGTTCATATTTTTTGGAAGATGATTTGTGAAGAATGATAGTGTACATTGTGGTACTCTGCATTATGGGTGTAGTGGTTCGTTTGAGACTGTGTTAAACTGGTCTTAAATGCACATAACCCTTCAGCCTATGCTTCCCAGAGAGAACTATCCATGTGTACTTTAAGTAGGTGGTTGGCTTGGGACAAATTCAAATGAGTGAGGGGAACCCCATATCATCTTTCTTCAGACAGAAGTTGCTGGGACTCCTGTCAGAACTTACCAGGAACCAAATTAGATATTTTCCCCTTCAGTTTAAATCTCACACAGTTAATTATATGTTCTTTACAGGCTAAAAGTTGGTCTTCAGGTTGTAGCAGTCAAAGCTCCAGGTTTTGGGGACAATAGGAAGAACCAGCTTAAAGATATGGCTATTGCTACTGGTGGTGCGGTAAGTAAGTCACTGGTGCCATTGTGCTGGTGAAGTTTGTGCTTCTGAGTTGCAAATAATAGAATGTACACTTCACAAATAGATGTGGCTGTTTCTTTCTATTGGGTACTTGGAACATTAGATTAAGGTCACATTTCTAATTTGCTGAGTCTGACCTAAGAATGGATGTGATTAAAAGTTTTTCTCAAAATTCAAATAAAGCTAGTAGTGATTTTAATCAGACCTTGTTCTGGGATACCAGTGGCCTTGACATCAAGGAAAACAGCGTCATTTTTGTTGTTTTTCTCCTTTTTTTACTTTGTGTGTATGGGTTTTTTGTATGCACAACAAAAGGCAGCATCTGATTCTATAGGGTTACAGTTGTGAGCTGCCATATGGGTGCTGGGAGAACACTTGGAAGAGCAATGCAGCCATCTCCAGCCCTGAAAAGCAGTTTTTCAAGCTGTTTCTCCTCACAGTAGCTGTGTTACATACAGTAATAAGCTTGGTATAATGGAAGACACTTAAGCACACACTGCATTTACAGGTATTTGGAGAAGAGGGGCTAAATCTAAATCTTGAAGATGTTCAAGCCCATGACTTAGGAAAAGTTGGAGAGGTCATTGTCACCAAAGATGACGCCATGCTTTTGAAAGGAAAGGGTGACAAAGCTCAAATTGAGAAACGCATTCAAGAAATCACTGAGCAGCTGGACATCACAACTAGTGAATACGAAAAGGAAAAGCTGAACGAAAGACTCGCTAAACTTTCAGATGGAGTAGCTGTGTTGAAGGTAAGGCTATATATAACGTTTGGTCTCTGATTCTGTGGTGTTTACCAATAGTAGCTAAGCAAGTGCCTCCATTCCCAAAATTTTTAGCTGTGTGTGCACAGGCACACACTTTCCGTCCGGCACATGTGGCAGTCAAGAGCAGCTGTCACTTTTGGGTCATCTGCCTTTCCACTGTACTGTCAAAGATTAAACCTGGATCATCAGACCTGCAAGGCAAGCCCTTTGGCCCACTGGGGCTATATCCCAGAGCCTCTTGAGTCTAAAAATAGGCAACGGGGCTGGAGAGATGGCTCAGTGGTTCTTCACTATAGCTAAAATAGGCATGTATCCCCGACTGGTACAGAGCAGAGCTTAAGGCTGAGACTGTTCCTTGGCCTGTGTAGTGCAAGCAGCCTACTGCTGCCCTGTATCCCAGCCCTGTTTTTCTTACTGTGTAGCCCTGGCTGTCCTGGATGAAACTCACTCTAGACCAGGCTGGTCTTGAACTCGAGATTTGCCTGCCTCTGCCTCCCTAGTGCTGTGCATCATCACGACTGACTAGCATCCTTTTCTTAAATCACAGTTCAGCTTGTGCTGTGGGAAAGTCTGGAAAAGATGCTTTGTTAGTGGGATCCGTTCCTCAGAAGTAGCAGCCTCACTGGCACATGCTATTTACCACAGAGGACTGGTCACTGGTGACATACAACCTTTTATTCTAGAATTGCTTCTTTTGTTTTTGTTTTGAACCCTGTAGCCCAGGTTACTTGGTAACCCACTTGCCTTTGAGATCCTAACTGTCACCATACCCGGATCAGGCTTGCCTTATTAAGTAGTGACTTCAGGCCGTCATAGTGAATGGGAAAGATATGCTAACTAGAATTATTTTCATCTTCAGGTTGGAGGAACAAGTGATGTTGAAGTAAATGAGAAGAAAGACAGAGTCACCGATGCTCTCAATGCTACAAGGGCAGCTGTTGAAGAAGGCATTGTTTTGGGAGGGGGCTGCGCGCTGCTGCGGTGCATCCCAGCCCTGGATACATTAAAGCCTTCTAATGACGACCAGAAAATAGGTAAAGATTATGGTTCTTTAGCTTTTGTTTTTTGAGACAGGGTTTCTCTGGGTTACCTTGGTTATTCTGGAACTCACTCTGTAGACCAGACTGGTCTCAAACTCCGCCTGTCTGCCTCCCAAGTGCTGGGATTAAAGACAAATGAATTTGTGGCACGATTCTTTGTGTTGAAAAGAAGTATTGTTGGTGCCAGAGAGATAACAATGTAACACATTTTTCAGGGGTAATTCTTTTTACTTGTGGTAGGATTGATTGAGTCCCCTCACAGACTGTGTTGAATTATTTTGTGTGTATGGGTATTTTTCCTGAATGTCTTGTGTGCAATATTAATATTCTCAGAGGCCAGAAGAGGGCATTGGATCCTCTGGAACTGGAGCTGTAGTGAGTTATTGGGTGCTAAAAGGGTCATATCGGGTCCTCACAAAGAGTAGCCAGTGCTCTTAACCATTGAACCATCTCTGCCTCCCCCAAAAGGGAAAACAAATAAATTTGTGATAATGTTTGCTTTGTAGGTATAGAAATTATTAAAAGAGCACTCAAAATTCCTGCAATGACAATTGCTAAGAATGCAGGTGTTGAAGGATCTTTGATAGTTGAGAAAATTCTGCAGAGTTCCCCAGAAGTTGGTTATGATGCTATGCTTGGAGATTTTGTGAACATGGTGGAAAAGGGAATCATTGATCCAACAAAGGTAAATAATTCCGCATTTCTTAAACATTGGATGGCTTGTTCTATGGTATTTGGTTTTCATTAATCATTTCACAAACATCTTTTTTTAGGTTGTAAGAACTGCTTTACTGGATGCTGCTGGGGTGGCCTCCTTGCTAACTACAGCAGAAGCTGTGGTGACTGAAATTCCTAAAGAAGAGAAGGACCCTGGAATGGGCGCAATGGGTGGAATGGGAGGGGGTATGGGAGGTGGCATGTTCTAACTCCTAGAATAGTGCTTGCCCTTACCAATGAACTGTGACAGGAAGCTCAAGGCAGGTTCCTCAGCGATAACTTCAGAGAAGTCACCTGAAGAAAATGAAGAGAAGGCTGGCTGATCACTAACCATCAGTTACTGGTTCCCATTGACAATACATAATGGTTTACTGCTGTCATTGTCCATGCCTACAGATAATTTATTTTGTATTTTTGAATAAAGACATTTGTACATTCCTGATACTGGGTGCAAGAGCCATATACCAGTGTCCTGCTTACAACTTAAATCCCTGAGGCAGTTCTACTATTCTGTTACAGTCAGGATTGTAGTGCTTGTGTCACCAGATGAAAAGTTCAGAAGCAGCCTTTCTGTAGAGAGTGAGAATAATTGTGTACAAAGTAGAGAAGTATCCAATTATGTGACAACTTTTGTGTAATAAAATTTTGTTTAAAGTTCTGGTTGTGTCGTAGTCTTAAGGATGGGAGAAATGAAAGCCAGAAAAGAGCACAGTTGGGTGTGTGAAAATGCCACATATATTCTGTGATTGGAGATGAGATAATTTTAGTGGTGGGTGTTCTTATAAAAGGCAAGACCCTGATTGGTTTTGCTAGTTTGGGGTGGGGAAGTGTGATACTCTGAATCTGGGAGCTGGCCTGCTCAGATGCTTGCTATGCCGGCAAAGCCAGAGATAGATCCCTGGGGCTGGGTAGTCAAGTCTTCACAGTTGATGAGCTTCTGAGTTCAATCCCTGGAACTCCCAACTCCAAAATGGTCCTCTGGCTTCAGTGTGTGCATGCCCATATCATTTATTTTATGAGAGTTTTTCTGTGTAGTGGTGTATTCTAGGCTACCATGTAGCAGCAGCATTAACCAGCCTTCAGTACTTGAATGTTAAAGCGAGTCTAGAACTATCAAGGGTCTACCCAATTGAATAGGCAAAGTGAGGCCCTGGCCTCAATTCCCAACCTTCACTTTACAAACTGAAGACTACAAGAAGAACCAAGGTAGCTAGTTACAAGATCAGGATGCAGATGGGGCAGGACTAAATGCATCGGGCTCCTCCAACCCATTGTCACAAAGCATGGAAATTTCCAGAATCACCAAATGAGTCAGAAATGGAAAGGGGGAACATACACTGGCCAAGTATTTAACTGTGGAAATGTACTTGCCTCTTGAAAATGAGTAACCAAGAGGAAAGGAACCCTGCTGTATAGTCACCTTCTATCTCAGAAGGGAAACTCAATTAGAATACTGCCGCGGTGGCAGAGCTCCAGGTAGTTAGATTTTGGTGGCTGCAAAGCAAGTGACAGGTCTGACCTGACCCTCACAAACTGCAGCTTCAGTCTGGTGAGTGTCAATGTCAATGTTGAAGTAAGAAATGCCTAAGAAAAGGCTTGTTTTGGTTATAGAGACAGGGTTTCTCTGTATAATCCTGGCTGTCTTGGATTTATAGACAGGTTGGGTGGCCTTGAACTCAGCCTCCCAGAGTGCTGGGATTAAAGATATGCAACCTTTGGGTTTAGGGTCAAATTCCTAAGTATTATACTTTATGTTTCACTGGCAGTTATCGTTACTTTTCAAAGCACAAGGAGCCCTGCATTTTGAAAGTAAGGACTTTTTGTAATAGGAATAATAGAAGACCCAGAGACTGATGTTGGGTTTCAAGCTGAAGATCAGAAAAGCAAAGCACCCAGCCACTAGCTCATATCTCTACCTCAGGCTGAAAGGGTTGTCCTTGGCGTGACTGGAGAATAAATCTACCAATCCTCACTGCAATCCTGTCTCCACCAAGCCACAGACTGCAATCCCAGACTCTGCCTCCTTTTATATCTCTCAAATTCTGGGATTAAAGGTGTGTGAGCCCAAGTGCTGAGATCTCTTTTGTGTGAGCTGTTTCTCCTTAGGACTGGATCAATTTCATGTAGCTCAGTGTGGCCTTGAACTAACAGAACCATCTGCTTGTCTTGTGAGTCCTAGGATTAAAGGTGTGTGCTACCATTGCCTGACTCTAGGGTTTGTGGCTAGCTTTGCTTTCTGTACCCTCAGGCAAGCTTTAATAAATATAAATAATCTATCACCACAACTCTTGGCCACAGTACACCAATACATCTGGGGTTTTGTTTTTTTCCCACAATGGTGTGGTATCTCCATCCTTCCTATGTGATCAGTAATATCAATAGTGCACAGGCAAAAAGGCTTGAAAATAAATGATGCACTCTGCATCTTGTTGGTCACAAATGAGGACCAGATACTTTGGACACATATTGGGGTCTTCTATATTAAAAATCCCTGATACCATCACTGCCACTGTTTAGGATTTTTGTAATGAAGCCAACTCATTTGAATCCATAAAAATGTCTTGCTAGGGTATAATGTTTAATAAAATTGGAAGGGGTGTGTGTGGCATATGCCTTTAATCCCAGAATCTGGTAGGCAGTTCTCTGAGTTCAAGGCCAGCCTGATCTACAGATCGAGTTCCAGGATGGCCAAAGCTACACAAAGAAACCCTATCATGGGAAACAAAACAACCACCAAAATAACAAAAACAGAAAGTCTTACATTTATTTATTTGGGCAAGGTGAGTACGCCAAGTGCATATGATGCCAGAGGACAACTCCCTAAAGTTAGCTCTCTCCTTCCATTGTAGCTCCCAGGGGCTAAACTGAGATGGTAAAGCCTGCCTATCACACATGAACTACTCTCAAATATGTTAAGCCAGCATTTCCAAGGCATTTTCCACAGAATCCTAGGAAGAAAACTGAGGAAAATACAAAGAATTTTGCATTAGAATGAGATTGGGACAGAATGTACATGTATGATACATCCTGTCTTTCCAGGAGTCTCCCACCCCAAACTTTTTTGGGGGAACAATTTCATACATGTATATAACAATCCCCTCTCACTACTCCCTATGTTTCCCATGAATCTTTCTTCTAAACAAGTGGTTGTCCTGCCCCCCCCAACCTCTCTGGCATTTTTTTTTTTTTTTTTTTTGGAGACCTAGAGTTTACTTAAGGTTACTTGCATGAGCACAGCTTGGGGAGTTTCTTACTGGATCTTGAGCAACTCACCAGTGGCTACACCATGAAGAAAATGACGCCCCCTCTCTCAGCAACCATTAATTGCCAATAGTCTGTCAGGAGCCCCTCCCCCATCCATGATGGAATGTGGATGTCCTCCAACTTGTGCAGTTGTTGAGTTCCTGGTGCAAAAGTCATGTCTTGTTCAGACGTTCTTTCTGCATTCCTCCCCACCTCCCAGCTCATACAGTCTTTCTTGCAAAATGTTCCCTAAAGTCTTGGAGGGGATAATATAGATGTCCCATTTAGGGTAGAGCACTTATTCTCAGTACTCTGAAGTTATGAGTCTGCACTCATTACCACCCATGACAAAAAAACAAAAAACAAAAAAAGCAGCTCTGATGAAAACTGACACACATCTATAGGTAAAAACAAGTATGTAGAAGGCAATTAGACAACATGTCTATTTAGCAAAATAGTAGTAGGATGTATTATCAGTAGTATGCCTCCCCCAGGGTTGGGGTGAAGGCTTGAAGGATAAAGTGCTGGCAATACATATATGAGGACCAGCACTCCCATCTCTAGCATGCATGTAAAAAGTCAGGCAGGGAAGGCAGTGCCTGTAATTCCAGCACTTGAGAGGCAGAGACAGGTATCCCAGGGTATTCTGTCTAGTTCGACTAGCTGGAACAGTGAGCTCCAGATTCTGCGCCACAATAGCATGAAGAGCCCTCAGCTGAGACATCCTATGTCAACTGCAAAGGATCATAGGAACACATGCACCCACACGCCCCCCCCCCCACAAGAACACAAACAGGGATGGTGGCTCAGACCTATATTTTTAGCATTTGGGAAGCTAGACAGCAGCCTCAGTCAAGAGATCATCTCCTGTGTCACAGTGAGTTAAAGGCCCATCTGGGCTAATGACATCCCACCAAAACTAAACCAAATACCAAAACCCAAGTCAAATGCAAGGGGCACAGTTACATGCAGACCATTTTGCTCTGGACATGGGCAAGTGGGAAGATCCAGTTTGACTTGCTAAAAGCACAAGTGAGCCATGGAGTAGATAGCATGAGTTCCTCTCAGCCGCCCAGCCAGCGCCCACGAGGACAGCACTTACAGACTACTGAACAAACTCCCACAAGTACCATTTAAAGTTGAAAGCGTCATGACTACAAGTTTAGTAGGAAGAGGTGACTCAGTACAGAGTGAAAGGAGGGGAGATGATAGCTGATTAAAGACAGATGGGTGTAGCTCAAACTTGTCAGTTTCTATGGAAGGTTTTTTGTTGTTTTCGCAGTGCTGAGGATCAAATCGAGGATAAATATTGTACCCGTGAAAGTTAATTTTTTAATTATTTTTAAATTTTATGTACATTGTTTTGTCACGGGTGTTGGATCCCCTGGAACTGGAGTTACACAGTTGTAAGCTGTCATGTGGGTACTAAGAATTGAACCTGGGTTCTCCTGAAGAGCAGCAGTCAGTGCTCTTAACCCCTGAGCCATCTCTCCAGCCCCCTGAAAGTAACTGAAAAAAAAAAAAAATACAGTGTTCTGCCTACATGTATGCCTGCACACCAGAAGAGGGCACCAGATTTCATTACAGATGGTTATGAGCAACCATGTGCAGCAAATTGAACTCAGGACCTCTGGAAGGGCAAGCAGCCAGTACTCTCAACCTCTGAGTCATCTCTCCAACCCCATGAAACTTAAGACATGAAATTCTATAGTACTGTATTTCTGTTGTTATAGTTGTCAGCCTGACATATACCTAGTTACCTGGGAAGAAGGAGTATCAGTTAAAAGAATTGCTGCCATCTGACTGGCTTTTGGGTACATCTGTAAGACATTTGCTTGACAACTATTTGGTGCAAGAGGGCCAAGCTACTATGGGTGGTGTCACCCCTGGGCAGGTGGGTCTTCATCATCTAAGGAAGCCAGCTGAACACGAGCCTGGAACAAGCCAGGAGCAGCATTCCCAGTCTGTGTTTCCGTTCTGCCTCTAGCTCCTGCCCGTGACCTGTAACCTGAGTAAATACATTTCTCACAAGGGCTTTTGCTCATGGTGCTTATAACAGCAACAGGGACACAAACTAGGCCATCTGTCAGAATAGACATTGAAACAATACAGAAAAGATTTAAATAATCAAACTCACTATACAAAAATAAACAAATTAGCTTTATTAAGTCACTTCAGCGCTTACATTGATTTGTTTTAAAAAAAATAACAGTTTAGAATATTATTGAAAGCGAATATGCACAATAAATAGAAAATGGGATGTGCAGTGCAGAGGAGTATTAATTAACTTATTTATCTGCTACCTACAGTGGCAGACAAGATTTTGACACAAAATTAGCATTTTGAAAGTGCAGGCAAAGCACCTGAGGGGAGGTTTCAAATGTTTGGAAAAGTAGCTTGGTGCTCTGGACCACTCACCAAAAACAAAAAACAAAACAAAAACCTACTCAGTGCATCTGGGAGCTACTTCCCAACTACACTGAATTATCTACTGCTACCTACAAGTACAACTAAAAATATCAAAGTGCTAAGACTTCATTAGCAGTACTTTAAATCAAAGTCTTAATGTTAAATATATGATTATTCAAATATCCTAAGCCATATGGCAGGCCCAATATCAATAAGTTACAAATACCCTGAACCTAATAACTTAAACATGATATGGCTAATATAACACACACTGTATCTTACCTACCCTTTCACGTAAGGGGATAATTAAAAGACTTTAGTTCCACTTCCCACTCAAACGAGGGATGCAGTATCCTAGCAACAGTGATGACAACCATTATTATAAAGGTAGAACCTGCAAATGTACACATTACTTTGAGTTACACTTGATTGAAGAAGAAATAATTCTATGTACAAGAGGGTCCATATTCATTGCACACATTTTCAATGGAGCAAGTGGGTTTAGAATCAAGGCAAGCTTAACAAATGCTTCCTGACTTCTCAGTGGACGGTGAGAGGACTTCCTAAAAGTAAATAAGCTAGTTAAAAGTAGGTGGTGCCAGCTCTTATTTTCCTGTTAGGTGTGGTGAATTTCATGAAGCATTAATTCCCGAGGAATGTTTGTTTCTGGACCATACAGTTTACTTGCTCTTCTTTCAAAGGCAGCTACCATTTGTTTCACAACTTCATCGAAGAACAGTGTAGCAAGCTGAGAGTGCAGAAGGGAGCGGAATTCAAAAGAAATCTGTAAGGGAATGTTAAAAATGGTTTCACACATATCTGCCAGGCATAATAACACATGTCTATAACCCTAGCATTCAGGAGGCTGAAGCAGGAGTACTGGGAATTTAAAACCAGCCTACTATACACAGCAAGTTTCAGGACAGCCTGAATACAAAATTAAAGAAGGGCTGAGCAAAGCTAGCCATGATGCTACAGGCCTGCAATTCCAGTTACTCAGGAGATCCAAGTTCAAGGTTTGCCTGGGCTAGAGTGAATGCAAGGCCTTTTTAAAGGTCTGGTGATGTAGCTCAATGATAAAGCACCTGTCCAACACATACAGAACACTGGGTCCAAACCTCAGCACTACAGGAAAAAGCAACTATTTCTCCTGCTGTATTTCTAGTTAGGAGAGTTCAGACTATGAACTGGCTATCTGAGGTGGAGCTGTGTGGGCTACCTCCAGGACAGATCTGGCACTCACTAGGAGATGGGATCCTTTTTATAGCAGTGCCTAACAACAGCTATCACGATGAGCCAGAGTAAATAAGACCAAAGACCTTACTCTAGGGCAGAGTTTCACTGGCTTCTGTAATAAGATGAAGAAGACAGGGAATAGCTTTGCTAAATAAAAATTTTAAATCTTTCACATTTATTTTAGTGTATGTGGGAATGTGCACAATTATGCAATGGCATGCAATGGAGGTCAGAGAACAACCTTCCTTCCACCACATCCCAGGGACTCAACTCAGGTTGCCAGCTCCACTTCTGATTCTGACTTAGGAGAGCATATGTAGAGGTCAGCAGACAATCTGCTAAAACAAGTTCTCTCTCCACCATGTAGGTCCTGGCTGGCGATTTAACTCAGGCCTCCACATCTTGCCAAAACTATTCTGATTTCTTATTAACAAACACTCTTGGCTTTACATGCAGTTTTCTCCACAAAAGGAGATAGGAAGTGACTGCTCTGACAATTATCATTTCTATGAGAAGTAACAGAAGGGAGTAGATATTGCCTGTGCATGCCATCCACAAACCAGTCAGAACTTTATTAATATTCTGTTGTTCTGGGTAGAATTTAAGGCAGTTACTATAAACAACAGTTTTAAAAAATTATATAACACTTTAACTTTCCTCTATCAGCTGACTGCAATGCTGGGCATCAGAGCTAGAGTTTCCAGTGAGACACATCCTAAGTCTTAACCTTTTTCCCTTATACTGGAACCTCTCACACACTGGACAAGGTCTCACTAAGTCATCTAGGACTCAAACACACTGAGTTCAGGCATCTATCTCATGATCTTCTTGCCTTATCGTCCTCAGCAGCTTGGATTATCCCATGTCTGACTCTGAGTTTTTTATCCTTAAATAACCTTTTCTTTAAAAAAAAAAAAAAACAAGGTCTCTATGTAGTCTTGTCTGTTCTGGAATTTGCTATGTAGACTAGGCTGGCCTTGGACTCACAGAGATCTTCCTGCCTCTGCCTCCCCAGTGTTGGAATTAAAGACATATGCCACCCCATCAGGTTAAATAACTTTCTTATAATTTTCTGTTTGTTTGTTTGTCTACAAGTTGAATTCTAGAACAGCCAGAGCTGCACAGTAAGATCCTGTCTTAAAAAACAAAACAACCGCCGGGCGTTGGTGGCGCACGCCTTTAATCCTAGCACTCGGGAGGCAGAGACAGGCGGATCTTTGTGAGTTCGAGACCAGCCTGGCCTATAAGAGCTAGTTCCAGGACTCCAAAGCCACAAAGAAACCCTGTCTCGAAAAACAAAAACAAAAACAAACAAACAAACAAAAAAAACAACCAAACAACCAAAAAAGGGCATTATTAGCTATTATGTGTTAACGGTATCTGCTCTAATCCTAGCACTCAGGAGGTTGAAGGATGATAGTGAAGTTGAGGCCAGGCCAAGCTATGCAGTAAACTGCAATCCAGCTCAGGCTACAAAGCAAAACCCTGCCTTAAAACAAACAAAAAAGCATAACTTGGGGCTGGCAAGAAGATGACTCAATGGAACTAACCACCAAGCCCAATGATCTGAGTTTAATTCCCAGGACCTACATGATAGAAGGACAGAAGAGACCCTTGAAAGCTATAAACAAGAACTTTATAGTAGACTTACTGAAAAATCCAAGGTACAAGTTCTTGGATAGCCAGGAAGACCTGGGCTAAAACGCCAAATAGTCTCCAAATGATTGAAAAGTTTCCCATCAGTACAAGATGCCTAGAACAAAATGGAAAGAAAAAAATAAATCCTTTTCATATGAGCAGGAATCTACCACGACTGGGGCTTATTTCCTTGAAAAGTAACTCTCTTTATCAGCTCAGAATACAAGAGATGAAGATGCCTAGTAGCTTGGTACAAGGAAGTAACTTTTTACCAAAGTCATTCTTCCTCCTCTAGGATCCCAGACTGTCAGCTGTTCTCTCTCATGTGCTCACCACTGTGCTACTGAGCCATATTTGATTTCACTTCTTTACCAAGAAAACAGTATGTGGGGGATGTAATTGCTCATGTGTGTTGGCCACAGGTGTCCTCCTCAATCACTAGTCATCTCTTTGAGGCAGGCTCTCTGTGATGTACAATCACTTTGGAGATACACTTCTGGCATGTCTATAGAGGATTATGGGATTAGGTCCACATGAAGGCCCACCCTAAATGTGGGCAGCATGAGTCCCAGAAATGTCCTAGACAGAATAAAAAGGATCACAATGATGTGATTCTTGACTGTAGATGCTGTGTGGCCCGTGGACCTCAAGCTTCTGTTGCCATGACTTCACCAACTGCCATGTTTTCTCTACCATGAGGAAAGGTTCACTTGAATTGTGAGCCAGAATAAATCCCTCCTCCCTTACACCACTTCATGTCAGGTGTGTGGCACAGCCACAAGGAAGTAAAACAGCCTCCCGAACCCAGGCCCATCCATCTGAGCTTCAGAGATCCAGCTGCCTCTGCCTGCCAGGACTGGGGGTCACAGCCCACACACCTCTCAGTGCTCAGGTCCTTGTGCTTGACAGTTAAGTACTTTGCCAACTGGGAAGACTTCCTACCCCAGGAAGTAGTTTTTAAAAAAAACCCATTTCCAGTTCTACTTCCAGGTGATTGTGAACAAGTAATATACTACACCCGTTTCTTTTTTTTTTTTTTTTTTTTTTTTTGGTTTTTCGAGACAGGGTTTCTCTGTGGCTTTGGAGGCTGTCCTGGAACTCGCTTGGTAGTCCAGGGTGGTCTCGAACTCACAGAGATCCGCCTGCCTCTGCCTCCCGAGTGCTGGGATTAAAGGCGTGCGCCACCAACGCCTGGCCACCCGTTTCTTTAAGTTGGAAAATAACATATACTTTATACCATCACTCTGAAATGGCTGACATATTCATAAAGTATCTGGTACATATTTTGAGGACAAATTATTTTGTCTGCTTATATGTCTGTGCACCACATACATGCCTAGCACCCACAGAAGTCAGAAGAGGGCATCAGGTCCCTGGGAACTATACTTACAGGCAGTTGCAGGCCACCATGTGTGTGGTGGGAACTGAACCCAGCCCTCTGAAAGAGCGGCTTCCTCACTGAGCCATCTCTCTGCTCCACATATAAACTTCTTTTCTCTCTTTCTTTTTTTTGTTTCTGGTCTTTCGAGACAGGGTTTCTCTGTGTAGCTTTGGAGCCTGTCCTGGAACTAGCTCTTGTAGACCAGGCTGGTCTCAAACTCACAGTGATCTGCCTGCCTCTATCTTCCAAGTGCTGGGATTAAAGGCGTGCGCCACCACCACCCAGCTCCTTTTAAAACTTTCTTTAGTCTTTCAACTGCCTTACCACTTCTCCTCTAACTTAAAAAAAAAAGTGTACCTGGAGATAGTGATGGCATACACCTTTAACCCCAGCACTTGGGAGGCAGAGAAAAGTGAATCTCTGTGAGTTCATGGCCAGCCTGGTCTGAGTTCTAGGATAGCCAGGGCTGTTACACAGAGAAACCCTGTTTCAGGAGGGGGAGAAATGTGTGTGGTAAAGTAATATGCTGAAAATATCAAATACATTGAATTTTCTTTTCTAGCCTCAAATTCACAATCCACTTGCCTGACTCTCTTTTACTGTTAGGATTGCGGGCTCTCATATCCAACTTCCCTCCCCCCAACATACCCTATTTTAATAGTGCAAAGATGAAAACATTTCTCACTTCCAAATGATTTATCTTGCAATTCAGTAGTCATCAGCAGAAGAAAAACAGAAAAAAAAACACCCTTCTCATTTTCAAATTTTACTCCAACTTCTATCTGAAAAGAATAATGCTAATGCTGTATAAACTAACACAATTAGGAAATACAACAAATGGTTTTTCCCCTCTCACTAGAAGTATCTTTTAAGCTATTACATATTATTTAACTCATTTAGTATAATAAACATGTAGGAATATTAAAACAAAACAAAACCAAAAAACAAACTTACCTTTACTAAATGTGGTTTTACCAAGGTTACAACTGATGTATACCGCTCCAAAACAGGAGGAAACCCAACTTCTAATCGGGTTTTACAATACCCAGATCTCCTAGATATTATGTCTGATTTTTTACACCAAGGAACGAAATGCTTATAATCTTCCATTCCTGATACCACATCATACATTTCTTGCATTGAGTATCTTAAGAAAAGAGATAAATAATATTAGCAACAGATTCTATGAGATCTGAGCTTTAAATAGGATATAAATAAAACATCTGAGTCATTTGGCACACATATTGAACCACAAAATGGAATAGATGAGTTCAAACAACATAGAGAGTGAAAAGGACTGCAAATACACATACAGCAGAGGTCACAATGACTATAGTCCCCACAGACTCATATATTTGAATGCTTAGTCATCAGGAGCGGCTGTATTTGAGAAGGATTAGGACAATTAGGAGGTAAGGAGCCTTGTTGGAGTAGGTGTGGCCTTATTGGAGGAAGTGTGTCACTAGGGGTAGGCTTTGAGGTTTCAAAAGCCCAAGCTAGACCCAAGCTCTCTCTGCCTGCAAATTGGGATGTAGCTCTCTATCACTTCTCCAGCACCATGCTGGCCATGCCTGCTTTTATGATGATAATGGACTAAGTCTCTGAAACTGTAAGCCAGCCCTCAATTAAATGCTCTCTCTCTTTTTATTTTATTTTATTTTTTTTTTTTTTGGTTTTTACAAGACAGGGTTTCTCTGTATTGTTCTGGAGGCTGTAGGTCCAGCCCGGCCTCGAACTCACAGAGATCCACCTGCCTCTGCCTCCCGAGTGCTGGGATTAAAGGCGTGCACCACCAACGCCTGGCTTAAATGCTCTCTTTTGTAAGAGTTGCCTTGGTCATGGTGTCTCTTCACAGTAATAGAACATCAACTAAGACAATGACCAAATGACAATAAAACTCTTGGAATATACGTAAAAATCCGGGAGCCAGATATTTATTATTCTTGCTCATAAAGGCAAGGAAAACACAGGAGCACATGCTACAATCCTAACTCTCAAGAGGCTCTGAGAGGAGGATTGCCAAGAGTTCAAGCCCATCTTGAGCTATATCGCAAGTACTATGCTAGCCAGTGCTACATAGTGAAACCCTGTCTCAAAATTCAAATAAACAAATAGATCCTGGACACAGCTAAACTATAACCCACCATAAAATTATAATTCATCTTAAATTACAAAAGGATATTTTGGGCAGGGCGGTGGTGGTGTATACCTTTATTAATCTCAGAACTCAGAAGGCAGAGGCAGGCAGATCTCTCAGTTTAAGGCTAGCCAGGGCTATACAGAGAAACTATTGTCTTAAAATTACTCCCCAAAATTGGGGAGGGAGGAGCATTTTGGGTTATAACAAATTTGAGCCTTCATATATGTTTTAGTTAGTCTTAATAATCATGAAAGAATAACAAAGATGCAAGTCATAAATTATTTCCTTTAAATATCAAGGTTACTTTTATCCTATACAGTTAATATAAGAGTCCTCAACAATATGCATAAATATATATAAAACAGCAAGGGTTATGGACAGGTTAACCTAGAAAAAGCAGTTTGATCTACAGGAAGACAATCCAGAGAGAAAGCAGCATGCCACTCTATAGAAAAATATGTGTGCTCTTAATAAAATTACTACTATATACAAACCCTATAATTCTTCTCTCTGAGTACTCTTTCCGTTTATTTACTAATGGTGCAGTGATTTTGAAGAATGTTCTTGCATAGATCTCTTTAGGCAAACCTGAGGTATGCGGTGGTAGAGTTCTGTTCATCAGTATACCACAGGAAGCTAAGTATCTAAAAAACAATTTATAACATTTAAAACAAAAGTAGACACAAATTATACAGGCATTATAAAAACCAATCATATTTCAGAAGAACTTGCAATTTTAGAATAGTGCTGAATACACAGGCATAGACTCAAAGATAATCTTCTAAACAGCATAAAGAAAATTACAACAGGGGCTGGAGAGGTGGCTCTGAGGAAAAGAGCACTAGGTGTTCTTCCAGAGGACCCAGGTTCTCAACTGTCTGTAACCCCGTTCTAGGGGATCTGACACCGCCATACAGACTTACATGCAGGCAAACCACCACTATACATAAAATATAATTGAGTAAATCTAAAGTAAAAGAATAAAACTGAAACAACAGCTGACAGCTGGCAGCTGTGTATTACAACACACTATGCCATAGGCTTGCCTGTGTATTCTCCATCTATTACCCAGTTCACCTTATACATCCAAGCTGTTTCCTGCACACCAGTGAGACCTGAACCAGATCTCAGTCTCGGATTTGGAATCTGGAATCTGGCGCTGTCAGAGTTGCTGCTCCTCTGACTTCCTAATAATTTATTTCAGCATGCATGTATTACAGTATATCCTGTTACAAAGTGGTAGCTGATTCAGGTGAGCCTGTCAGAAGCCAAGGATGCTCATGTTCACCCTTTTAAGAAACTTATTTACGTATGAGTGTTCTGTCTGCTTGTATGCCTGCACACCAGAAGAAGGCATCAGATCCTGTCATAGATGGTTGTAATCTACCAGGTAGTTTATTGGGAGCCACCATTCACTCACTGTGTGGTTGCTAAGAATTGAACTCAGGACCCTGGAAGAGTCATCAGTGCTCTTAACAGCTGAGTTCTAGGCCTGTTCATCTTTATCTAACAAACTTACTGAATAACTATTTTATACTATCCAACCACTATTAGTCCACATACTGGTAAGCTCTTCATCCCCATACACATAGGCTCTTATTCTGGGCTTGACTGCTAATCACTACAGATTATCACAGTGAACAGAACAAATATGAACCTTCCAAAGATTACACTGTAGCTAGGAATTCAAAGGGCACCTGCACTCACACATACATTCTCATACACAGATACGGAAACATAACTGAAAATAAAACTCTGGGCTAGAGATGGTTCATCCTTTAACAGTGTAGACTGTTCCTGCAGACACCTGAGTTCAGTTTTCAGAACCCAAACTGGGCAGCTCACAATGTTCCAGATCTGAACCTTCTTCTGGACTCTGAGAGCACCTACACTCATGTGTACACACACACACACAGACCCATATATACACAAATTAAAAAAAAAAGATAAAAGTCTGGTGGAACCAGAAAAAATGCTCTGTAGGTAAAGACATTAACTCAAAAACCTGACAATACTGAAACCCATGTAAAGACAAAAGGAGAGAACCAACTCTACCAAATTGTCCTCTGACGCTCACACACTCATCGAACATCATATACACAAATACAGACTAGTAAGTATTTTTCTTAAAGCGCTAAAAACAAATGGGTAGGGAGTCATGATCAGAATCTTTAGATAAGGTGTCCCTGGAATCTCTGGAAGTTTTGTTTTAGTGTCTATGTAAGAAGTAGAACTGCTTAGTGGCACAGGCCTGTAATCCCCAGGAGGTTAAGGCAAGATCTTGAGTTCAAGGCCACCCTGGGAAACCTATTAAAAGTCTCAAAATTAAAATGGGTTGGGGCTATAGCTCAATGGTAAAATGTATATACACATGAATATAAAAACATACTCATTCACAAGTAAATAATGTAAATAAATGGGAGGGCATTCCAAGTGGTAGGGAAAGAGCTTAGCAGTATCTGACACAGCAGTACACACCCGAAATCCCAGAACTCTGGGAGGCAGAGGTAGAAAGATCCAGACAGGGAGACTCTGCCTAACCAACAAACAAGCAACCAGGGGCAGACACTTGTAATTTCAGCACAAGGGAGGGTCAGAGATTAAGGCCATCCAAAGCTACAAGAGTTTGAAGTCAGCTTGGACTACATGAGAGTCTGTCTCAAACCAGACAAACTCAGAAAGGACCAGCAATGTAGGAGCAGTGTAACAGGCCAGGAGGACAGTATTAAAAATACAGAAGGCTGAAGAGATGGCCCAGTGGGAAAAACTCCTGCCATGCAAGCATGGGAACCTCAGTTCTCAAGAACCCACACAGAAGTCAGATGCATATAGCATGCTGTTCCCTCCACACTTAAAAGGAAGCCCTGGGAGTGCACACACACAAAGTGTATACAGACAACAAACGAAGAAGGAAACTAACTGTACAGTTGCAAGACAGAGAGACATCAAGCTGGAACTGAGCTGGGAGCCTCCTCTCTACTGAAGGCAGACTTTCACGGTGCAAGAAGGTGCTATGGCAGACTGCTATGGATCAAGTCATTAATAGTACTGCCCAGCTGAGAACACTGAGCTACAGTATCAACTTAGCAGGCAAGATGTGCTCAATAGTGCAATACTGACATGACTACTATGCGAGTAATGGATGTTTTTTCTGGTTGGATCTGAGGTCTACTCCACAAGAAATTCATGCCTGGTACTGTGAATCTGGAACCTATTACGGTTGTTTTGCTAAATGGACATGTTGTCAAACAGTTTTCTTTTTTTTTTAATATTTTATTTATTTATTGTGTATACAGCCTTCTGTCTGCATGCCAGCAGAGGGCACCAGATCCCATTCAAGGTGGTTGTGAGCCACCATGTGGTTGCCGGGAATTGAACTCAGGACCTCTAGAAGAACAGTCAGTGCTCTTAACCGCTGAGCCATCTCTCCAGCCCCGTCAAACAGTTTTCTACATACTTAATTTATACACATAACTGACTGCTACATTCAGCCTGTCAGACAAGTTTCCTTTTGCACACAGAAACTCATGGCCAGCTAAACTACTGAAAATAAGTGACTAGTGACTGAGCAGTCAGCCTTAAATGGGACATCTATATCACCCGGTCCAAGGTTCAAGGAACACAGCAGAAGAATGGGTAGTAAACAATCTAAAAGTGAAGGCTAAAGAGGAACGATACAAATTAAAGGTCTCCTGGACAGGAGATGGCTGCTACACTCAGGAATGCCCCACAGCTATGGTTGCCTGCCACCACCTCCTGAGTGCTGAAGACTAAAAGCATGCAACACCATATCCAGTTTCTTTTACTTGGGGGTCACAGAGATGTCTCAGCAAGTAAAGGTGCTTGTCACCAAGCCTGATGACCTGAGTTCCACCCCAATGGCCCACGGTGTAAGTTTTATGACTTCTCCATGTACACACACCATGCTCTGTAGCACATGTACACCCACAGTAATTAACATAAAGTTGACAAAGCCTAGGCACACACATTTAATCCTAGCACTTGTGAGGCAGATGCAGTTTGATCTTTGTGAGATCAAGGCCAGTATGGTCTATAGAGTGAGTTCCAGGACAGCTAGAACAACACAGTGAGACCCTATCTCAATAAACAAATAAAATGTTGACACTGAGAATTTATAAAAATAACTTAAACTATGTGCATGGCCACAAAAGAGAACAAAAACAAACAAACAATCTTGGATAACCTGGAACTTGCTAGGTAGACCAGGTCAGCCCTGAACTAGCAGAGATCCACCTGCCTCTGCCTTCTGTCTTTTTCCTTGTTTGCTTTTGTTTTTGAGACAGAGTCTTACTCTGTGTTAACCAGGTGAGATTTGAGCTCGGAATCTTGTGTGTCAGCCTCCTGTGGTGCTGGGATTACAGGCATGCAGCATGAATCTTGATAATAAGTCTTTTAAAAAACATTATGTGCCTGCGAGTACTGGTGACTAAGAAGGCCAAAGGCCTTGGATCTCCTGGAGTACAAAGTGCATACCAGATTCTCTATGTGAAGGCTGGGTACCACAAAAGCCAGCACCAGACTTTTGTTTTCAAGATAATAGATGGGCCAGGTATGATGGCACACCTGCCTTTACTCCCAAGACTTGAGAAGTGAGGCAGGTGAATCTCTGTTCCAGGATTATACCAAGAGACCATGTCTCAAAACAAAACAAAAATGTAGCACACACCTAGCATGCACAAGGCCAGAGTCCCCACCAGAGGACAGACGGACAGACAGACACAGGCACACAGACACACCTTCAAGATGCCTGTTGCCAAAGAGTCAAGCTGAGTAGGAAGTCCTCCAAGACACCCTTATACAATCTGATCAAACTCCTAAGAAAATTGTGGCCAGGCGATGGTGGCGCACCCCTTCAATCCCAGCATGCGGGAGGCAGAGGCAGGTGGATCTCTGTGAGTTCCAGGCCAGCCTGGTTTATAAAGTGAGTTCCAAGACAGCCACCAAAACAATACAGAGAAACCCTGTCTTGAAAAAAAAAAAAAGAAAAAGAAAAGAAAACTGTGTATGCTTAAAACATTAACAGATTTCCTGATCACTATGGTTCCAGTGTTCTGGACAACACATCTATTTTTTTATACATTATTAAGGAGTAGAGGTATAAGGCTAAGCAGTAGTTGAGCTGGTTAACATGTTCATGGCCCACAAGTGGCTCTAGCACCTCTTATTCACCTGCCCCGAGAGGCTAGAATTCCAACGTAGCCATACACTTAACTGCTTACACAATTAAACCAGCAAATGAATACTGACACACTGCAAACACAGTTCTGATCACTAATATTCCAAAACTACTCTTTCAAACAACCTATTATGATAAAGGGCAGAACACAAGCTAATGTAACATTTTATGTATTCACAAACCATTTATGTTGCCGTTCTGGGTTGTTTTTTTCTGTTTCTTTTTGACATCCAGTGTCTCAATACGTCCCAAGCTGGTCTGGACATCCTGAGCACAAGCCTCAGACTACAGGCAACAAATGAGCATTTAATGAGTAATATAAGCAGATCTGAAGTATAAGGAGGTTATGTCCTGTTTGGAAAGCTATGAGTTGAAGATAACTATCTGATTTCACTTAGTTTCAACAAATTCTGTGGGGTTTGGAGGTGGAGCACTGCTGATACTTTTTATTTGTTTTTGAGGCAAGATCTAACCATGTCGTTCTAGCTGGTCTGGAATTAGCTATGCAGACCAGGTAGACCTCAAATACTAGGTCCCGCCTCTTTGCTGCTATTTTAAAGTCTTCAACTGAAATCTCCTGAAGCTCACCAAGATCTGTGCTTTCTCCTCCATAACGTATACATACTATTCATTTCAAATATGAATTTTGCTTTTTGGTCTTGAGACAGGGTCTCACTTTGTAACTTAGGTTGGTCTCGAACTCACAGCGGTCCTCCTACCTTAGCCTCACTGCCAGGATTACAGGTGTGAGCCACCACGCCTAGAGAATTTTAATTTTTGAGAATAGTTTATTACAGTATTAATAAGTTATTACGCAGAAACTGCGTAACAAACTTACAGTACCCTTCATGTCTCTACATTCATTTCCATCCTCAACACCCTCCCCCATAAGTGGGCCAACCAGGAAAACTGAAGGCAAAGCCGACTTCAAGGTTACAGGACCCGTAAGTTACAGCGGAGTGGAAAAAACCACAACAGGTGCTCTCTGTTGGCTGCGTTTCATATTCCGCGGGCCGAGTGGCCGGAGTCGAAGAACTCGGCGGCAAGTGAGAAAGCTTGTCAGACGGTTCACCGCCAGGACACGCATTCCCACGGCTCCGGGGGCCGTCGGCGCAGTTCAAACTTCTGCTGACCGCCGCTGACCACCGCGAGGAGACCAGAAGAGTGGGAGCTGGAGGCCCGGCGGCTTCTCAGCTGCTCCCACCGCCGTCCAGTCGCTGACTCACCCCGAAAACACGAAAAGCACGCGGGCCGGTCGGCCGAGCGCCGCGCCCCAGTTCTCCCGACCCGGCCCGAGCCCCGAGCCTAGTCTAACTAAGGTCAGCGACCGTGCTTCACGCCCGCCCGGAAAACCTCCGCTCGCTACCTGACGTTGCGCGCAGGCCCCCGCGTTGGTGCTTCCGCCACGGTGGTCGACTTCGGACGGCATACCGACACCACCCTGGTCAGGGCTCTCTGACCGGTCCGAGCTGCCATGATAGTCTACCTGAAGCTGGTAGCCAACGCCGGCACCCGGCCCGAGGCGCCGCCCTCAGGCCGGGCTCCTGCACCTCCCAGCCAATCCGCGGGCCCTCTGGGCAACTGGACACGCCCCTTCCACTCCCCCCCCCCCAACCCCATGACGTCAAGCTGACGCCAGACTGACGCACGCTCCCAGGACGCGCCGCCTCCCGCCGGCCAATCAGAGGGGCGCGGGTCTCCAGGACACTCGCGCCCCTTCTGCCGCGCGCCTGCGCACTTATGCAATCTTCGTGAAGGCCCCCTCCTGAGCTCACCCGCAGTCCTGGTCACATTGTCTGTGGTTTTTCCGGGTAGCGCCTCGAGGCTGGGCTAGCGAGGCCAGCCCTGCAGCGGGATAGAAGCTCAGCTAATTATGTAACTGTCCGTCCTCGTCGTCGGGTTTCCTCTTCCCCCCCATGCTGAGCCCGGCACGTTCTCGCGCCTGCTGCCAAGCCTGGCAGATCTTACTGTGTAATATCTAAAACAGTACCTGGTGTACTTGGTGTACTGACCCTGAGGGGTTGTTCCAGGTTAATGAGCGCAACTCCCAGTCATGCTGTCCAGGAAAAAGCCACCGGACTAGGCAGTACTAGCTGCCCTTTTCCTACGTGGCCAACGTTTGTTTTGGTGTTGATTTTATGGACTAGGATTCCCTCCTTTCATACAAAGCAACGACTTTGGTTGCCACATTTCGGGACTGGATGAGGCCCTGATTTTTTTTTTTGTTCCCAAGTCCTTGTTTAACCTCTGTAGTCCCTAGCTTCTCGTAAAGGTAGAGTAGCACTTACTATTTTAACACACCTGAAAAATTTTTACATTTATTTATGAGGGGGCACACTTGGCACACTTGTGAAGGTCAGAGTCCATTTTCTTCTCTTGTGGGCCAGAACTCACTTCACAGACTTACACAGCGAGTATTTTACCCATTTAGCCTCTTTCTGGTTCTAATACCATTTTTATAAGGACATAACACCGTTTTGTAAAACTTGTGCCACGTGTGTGTTTGGGACTGCTGTGAGATATGTGTCTGGCACATGAAGGTTAGAGGACAGATTTGTGAAATCCCTTTCCCGCTTCCATCTTTGTGTGGGTTCCAATTTGCTTAATAGAGTTTTGAGAAATAAACGAGATTGTCGGTTAAACATAGGCAACAAATTTTTTTCCTTTCTTTTTTTAAATTTTATTTTTAAATTTAAATTAGAAACAAGGTTGCTTCACATGTCAATCCCAGCTCCCTCTCCCTCCCCTCCTCCCACGTCACTGTCCCACCAACCCCTTCTCCCCCTACCCCATCCCCGCTCTTTTCCCCAGGGAGGGTGAGGCTTCCATGGGGGGGTATCCATAGTCTGTCATTTCATCCAGGGCAGGACCTAGGCCCTCCCCCCAAGAGTCCAGGCTGAGAAAGCATCTCTCATTGTGGGATGGGCACCCAAAGTCCATTTGTATGCCAGGGATAAATACTGATCTACTACCCAAGGCCCCATAGATTGCCTAGGTCTCCTCACTGACACCCACATTCAGGAGGTATAGATCAGTCCCATGCTGGATTGCCAGCCATCAGTCTGGGGTTCAAGAGATCCCCCTTGTTCAGGTCAGCTGTTCCTGTGGGTTAAACAAGCCCAGTCTTGACCCCTATGCTCATCAATCCTCTCTGTCACTGGTTCCCTTGAGTTCAGCTCAGTGTTTAGCTGTGTGTGTCTGTCTCTGCTTCCATCAGTCATTGGTTGAAGGTTCTGTTTCCCAGACTCTCTGGCAGTGGGATTATAGGCTGGCACTCCCTGATCCATGTCTAAAATCCATATATGAGTGAGTACATACCATGTTTGTCTTTTTATGATTGGGTTACCTCACTCAGGATGGTTTCTTCTAGTGCCGTCCATTTGCCTGCAAATTTCAAGATTCCGTTGTTTTTTTTTTTTCTCTGAATAGTACTCCATTGTGTAAATGTACCACATTTTCTCTATCCACTCTTCAGTTGAGGGGCATCGAGGTTGCTTGCAGGTTCTGGCTATTACAAATAATGCTGCTACGAATACAGTGGAACAGATGTCCTTGTTGTATGAATATGCATCTTTTGGGTATATGCCTAAGAGTGAAATTGCTGGGTCTTATGGTAGGCTGATTCTCATTTTCCTGAGGAAACCCCATACTGATTTCCAAGTGGCTGTATGAATTTGTACTCCCACTAGCAGTGGAAGAGTGTTCCCCTTTCTCCACATTCTCTCCAGCATAAGCTGTCATTGGTGTTTTTGATTTTAGCCGTTCTGACAGGAGTAAGATGATTATCTCAGGGTTGTTTTGATTTGCATTTTCGTGATGGCTAGAGATATTGAACACTTTCTTAAGTGCCTCTCAGCCATTTTGGATTCCTCTATTGAGAATTCTCTATTTAGTTCTGTAGCCCATTTTTAAATTGGATTCTTTGGTGTTTTGGAGATTTGCTTCTTGAGTTCATTGTAAATTTTAGAGATCAGCCCTCTGTCAGATGTGGGGTTAGTGAATATCTTTTCTCATTCTGTGGGATGCCTTTTTGTCTTGTGGGCTGTGTCTTTTGCCTTACAGAAGCTTCTCAGTTTCGGGAGGTCTTATGTATTAATTGTTGACCTCAGTGTCTGTGCTACGGGTGTTATGTTCAGGAAACGGTCTCCTGTACCACTTCTCTTCAAAGAGGTTCAGTGTGGCTGGATTTATGTTGAGGTATTTGATCCATTTGGATTTAAATTTTGTGCATGGCAATAGACATGGATCTATCCACATTCTTCTACATGCCAGTATCCAGTTATGCTAGCACCCTTTGTTGAAGATGCTTTCTTTTTTCCATTGTATATTTTTAGCTTCTTTGTCTAAGATCAGATGTTCATACATGTATGGTTAATGTCAGGGTGTTCAATTCAATTCCATTGGTCTACCTCTCCATTTTTGTTGCCAATACCAAACTGCTTTCAGGACTATAGCTCTATAATAGAACTTGAAATCAGGGTTGGTGATGCCTCCGGGAAGTTGCTTTGTTGAATAGGGTTGTTTTGGCTACCCTGGGTCTTTTGTTTTTCCATATAGTTGACTATTGTTCTTTCAAGGTCTGTGAAGAATTGTGGTGGGATTTTAATGGGGATTGCATTGAATCTGTAGATTGCTTTTGGCAAGATTGCCATTTTTAGTACGTTGATCCTACCTATCCAAGAGCATGGGAGATCTCTCCATTTTCTGGTGTCTTCTTTAATTTCTTTTTTTAAAGACTCAAAGTTCTTGTGATACGGATCTTTCACTTGTTTGGTTAGCATTACCCCAAGGTACTTTATGTTGTTTGTGGCAATTGTAAAGAGTGATGATTCTCTGATTTCTTTCTCAGCCCTTTTGTCATCTGTATATAGTAGGGCTACTAATTTTCTTGAGTTGATCTTGTGTCCTGCCACTTTGCCAAAAGTATTTATCAGCTGTAGGTGCTCCCTGGTAGAGTTTTTTGGGTCACTTATGTAAACTATCATATCATCTGCAAATAGTGAAAGTGTTACCTCTTCCTTTCCAATTTGTATCCCCTTGATTTCCTTTTGGGCAACAAGTATTTTGAAGAACTTACTAGGTGCTGAAGAAGTGAATGAATCTGCCTCCTCAGAGAGCTTATATTCCAAAGTAGAGATGGAATCGATATACAATACAAAATCAGATAAATTCATATCACGCAGGATAAAAAAATTAAAAAGGGTAGGTCATAATGGTACATGCCTGTAGTTCTGGCACTGGAGAGACAGAAAGAAAAGGTACTCCAGGCTAGATTGAACTAACTACACAGTGAGTTTCATGGAAAGCCCTGCAGCTGTTTGTGTGAATAGCCAACAAGGTAGGTCTCCAAGAAAGTGACACTGAACACATACTGATACACACACACACACACACACACACATGCATGTGTGTGTACACAAATATACACAAAATAAACAAATGTAAAAAAATACAATAGCATTTACTCGATTCCTTGTCCTCTTGTCTGAGGAGGTCAAGTTTCTATCCTGTCCCCCATCTCTATCTCTTTAACCAACTTAACCCCTCTTTGTCCTGTAAGACTGACGCAGTGTTCATCTGTTTGTGTTGTCAAAACAGAATACCTGGACTTTGGGTTGAAATCAGTGGTAAAGTACTTGTCTAGGGTGCATCCTATCCCTTCCCCCCAAAATAACAGAGACTAAGTAATTATGAAGGCAAGAGGTTTATT